CATATCCAAAAACAGAGCAAAATCCCGTTGTCGGAAACGCTCCCCAACAGACACTCCAAGCTAAAAATATCGCTTCATTGCTGCACCATTAGATTAAGACAGAAGTAGTTCAATGAGAAAGAGAAACCCAAAGAAAGACAGAAAGAAAACTTATATCCAATTTTTCCCTGGAGTAGACGATCCATATATATTCATTCCATTTTCTCACTCAGCATCTGGCATGAGTTTCATAATGGCCGTAAGCACATCATAAGCAGTCCTCCAACACACGCTCTTTTGTTGCTCGCTATCCCAGATCTCAATACAGCTCTCCAATGTTTCCAAAATAATCTGTCTGGGTGGGATCTGGCACCCTATGGCCTCCTCGTCAGCAAGCGGCGCATCCTTTCTTAGAACGTGGACCGATGCTTGCAAGGCGGCTGAGAAGAAGTCCATTGTGAAAGCACGGCCGACAAGGTCATAGCGGAGGCTATAGTCCTCGGACCACAGGTCGCGGTAGTGCATCAGCACGGCCAGCGAACACTCGAGGGAAGACCAGTATGACTCCGGGAACAGGGTTGGACCCTCAAGGTGAAGAGCAAACGGCCGATGCAGAACCATGAGGCAACGGCGGAGATAAATATCCACCGTAACACGCTGAAGGGGGTGCGCAATGACACGCTTGGCGTGGGCAATCAGGTTTCTGATCTGCGCATTGTGTCTCAGTACCTCAGCGTAGGGAATCTGATCGTTGCTCGAGTTGATCTGGACAAGGACTGAGAGAACCGCCGGCAGAGACTCGGATAGAATCTGCTGCAGAGGATCGGTCTGAACCAACTCCGGCATGGAGCTCTTCAACGATCGAAGCTCGTCCGGGCGGGTCAACGGTGGCATTCCCGTAGGCATGGAGATCTTGATATCGAGATAGATGATGGTGAGCCAAAGTCTTCGCCTCGTGCCTCGATCGACATTATCTCGAATTTCAATCGTCTCTTGAGGGAGGCCATAGATGAACGACATCCGCACGAGAAGCCCCAGCAATGACCAGCACGAATCGGTGAACCAGCAGGTTGGGTTGCACACTTGCTTAGCCACAACGACAAGACACATGGCTTTGAGTGAGGTAAATGTCGGACGGAACATGAAGGGTGTCTGCATGATACAGGCCTCAGCGCCCATCATCAGTTCGGTCGCAATGCTCGGCTCCTCTGGCGTGGCAAATGCACCTAGGCCCATAACCATAAGCAATTGTGCCAGCCAGTCAAGGGTGACAGCATCGGGGTTCTCCCAGTAGCTTTCAACCTCGAGCTTGAACTGGGGTACATCGACAATCGGGTTGACGCAGTCCAACAGATTGATGTACCTGTCAATGTATATCTGGGCTCTCGGTCGTTCGCTTTCAATGAGGCGTATCACGGCATCTCGGGAGTAGTACTTTGTTGCACCAGGTGTTCCAAAAGGGAAGTTCCCAGGAAGTGTAAAGTTCGCAAGGCAGGCATTGGTCGCAACGTTCTCAAGGGCGGCGGCGAGAGGGGGGGATTCCTTTGTCGTCAAAGCACCGATCTACCAGAGAAAAGGAAAAGGTCAGCGTCTAATTACGGTTGAAGATTAGGATCAATGGAGGAGGGGGGAGCAGAGCTTACCTTGGTCATCAGATCTCTCCAATGGCTCGCACCACGGGGCTCATGACTGACATGCCATGTCGCCTGAGTCGACTTGGTAATGTCGCCCCCAGATCTTGTGTTCGCAGTTGGGGTGACGGTAGGACAAGGGAACTTGCCTCCATTGGGTCCCTTGTTGTAGCTATAGTAGCACTCGCGCCCGTTGCCGCTCGACTTGCATCGTCCGCAAGGCAGCTCCTTGTCGCACTTGACCTTGAGGCGATGGCATCGTAGACAGCTCAGGCAATTGCGCTTCCGCTTGCGCACGACCTTGGGTGGCTTGGCAGGAGCAGGAGCTGGCGCAGCACTCGACGCCTCGCCTTCACCCTCGCCCTCCTCTTCGCCCTCCCTGTCGCCCCCTTCGCCCTCTTCGGCTCCGGTAGCTGTAAGATCGTCTAACACGGAGAGGGAGGCGGCACGGTTCAGGAAGTCGGCATCTTCCGTCGAGGTGGAGGGCGAGATCAAGCCGTTGCCAGCGCCGGGCGTCGAGCTGTCGGCCCTAAACTCCACCTCGTCCGAGGTCTGGGTCGGGGAGAGGGAGGAGATGGACGAAGGGCCGCCGCCGGTGATACCGTTAGCTTCGAAGCTACATCGCACGCCAGCCTGGACGCACCGCGTGCACGACGGCTTCAGCAGGTCGCACCGCCGCTTGAAATGGCGACAACGGTCGCACGTCTTGACCTCACGCATGTGCGGCATTACTGTTTGGGGTCGGCTGGGGCCGGTGGAGGAGGTGATACAACTATTTATTTAAAGGGCGCAGCTGTGTCGGCAACAAGCTGTCCAGGGCGTCAATTCCAGCGCAGCCCACTCAGCAACGGGCAGCGGCGGGAGCGCACAGGCGGCCGGCGGTTCAATTCGACGCGCAAAAGGTCTACCGGCAAGGCTGAAAAGATTGCAGCAAGTGACGAGTCGGGTCTGGTGGGCCGTAGATCGTATCTGATCAAAAGCCGAACGGTTGCACAGAAGGAATAAGGCGTGGTCGGTCACCCGATTGGGGGGGACTTTAAAAGGCAACGCACAGCCGTGGGCCCAGAAGCAGAGCGAGCGTCGACGCTCCTGAATCAGGCTGACTTATTGTCTGGCCTTGCTCTGCTTACTCTCCCAGCTTGGTTATTTCGCTGGAGACGTGGTTTGCCTGCGCAAGACGGGCTGGGGATAATTGGTCGGTGATAGTCGGCGTTTAACCGGCGGGGGCAGATTGGTGTCAGTCAGTCGATTTCTGAGAGCGAGCAGCAGCAGCAGGGCAGTAGAAGAAGACCGCGCGCCGGCAAGAAGAGGGAGGCGAGGGCCAACAAGCCAGTCTCACTTGGCCGCAGGAGGTAAATTAATCAGTCGATCCGGCTCCAATATTTGCTATTGGGGGGGAGATGCATGCGCGTCAAACCCCATGTAATGTAACCGAAGGTAGCAATCGTTTGTCTCGACGGAGGGACGGAATTGAGTTGGGGTAGGATTTGTTTTTAAAGCGTAGGGATCCGACTCGGGAGGCAGCTTGTCGCCAACACTGGTTTGGACGTCAAAAAGAGGATGGCGACGTTTGATGGTGGCCCGGAATAAGACACCAGTCACTGTCCCATGACGAGGCCAGGAAAGGGGATGGTATGATCCAGGTCTCCTTTGGGGGAGGGCTGATGGCATGCAAGGTGAACACACCGTCGCAGCTAGGCGTCGGGATGGATGGAAGGCTATTCTTGAGGTGGTGGTGGTGGTGAGCCTGGCGGGTTGGGGCAGAGGCAACGTGATATGTGCGCAGGCAGGTTGAGGCAGCAATGGATGGGGAGAGGATGAATGGGCTGGGACGAGATGGGACGGGACGGGCTGTTGAATATGTCTACCGAGACGACTGAGACGCTGCTCTGGTATTTGGTGGGTGGGCGGTTTGGGCGAATGAGTGAGGCGGTTTCCCAACACACCTTCCTCCCTCCCTCTTTGGAACATATCCAGAACAGGACGCGAGACCTGCGCCAACAGCCCCCCGGCTCGACTCGACTCGACCTGGACTCGACTCGGCTCTCCTGGCCCTCCATCTCGCGCTGCCACCATTCGCAGACACCGCAACGGACAGCTGGGGGTTATGGGAGCTGCACGGCCCGTTGAGCTAAGGCGCCCATGTTAATCTGCGGCTAGCGAGATGGCCAATCCGATACCCGTACCGCCGTCCCACTCCACCAGCTGCTACACCCAAACCAGTAGAGCTTGCACTGTGAGCTTGGCTCCTCTGCAGCTTCAGTCAGATCCTAGTCATCTTTTAGCGTCGAAGCAAGGCTAATGCTGCTAGTCATTCGGTCCAGCCAGACCATATCCAATGGCGCACGCTGACAGCTCATGCTGGACATTCTTGCCGACGTCGTCGAGCTTCCTCCCCGTCCCCAGCTTGCCCCTGCTGCCACAGGCCAGGTATTGGTATTAGCAATCAGCGGATGCACTGTGCCATTGGGTAGCATTTACAGGCCCCCCTAAACCCCCCGCCTCCAGCCCCCCCGGAGCATTTTTTAGAGGCTGCAGGTGCAGGCCGCCAGCTGATCAGGGCGTTCCATGCCGCCGCAACTATAAGGGCCACTCGACACACTGGCGCCCTTGTTGGCATCATGCTGCGCAGACTGACAGATGCCATTCGCTCAGTCCAGCTTAGGATTTTGAGGCTAGCTGCTGCGAGTCATCAACAATTGAGACGGAAGCGAGGCAGCAGCTAAGTCCAGAGGGATGCTCATCATGGGCGACGGTCCACTGGCAGCCAACCAACACGGCTGGATCTGGTTACAACTACCTAAGCAATGCGCCCGGGCATTCCAGGCAAATCCCGCTAGCAGGTAGCAAACAACAGGGCTGATCGACCGATGCACAGTCATGTCAGAGAGTATGCCGGCCAGGCCACTAGTCCTCGGCCTCTGTCCGTGGGCTACGTACCTAGGCACGCATACATGCTTGCTGTGCGTACCGTTGCTATTAATTGCTTCATCCACCATGTGGCCAGGTGGTCGCTCCATGGCTCTGCCCGAAAGAGAGACCGGTGAGAGATAGCTTTGTTACCTCCCCCTCCGTTCTCTCCCGCCCCCATCCCTTCCGCCCCCTTTCCTCCGTAGACCCTGACATAGGTAGGTATCATGTGCGAGCGTGCGAACGAGCCCTGCGATCGGATCTCTGAGCCCGTTTCATCGACTAGATTAGCGTTCGTCCGTGTCCGGCTCTGCAACGGCCCGGCGAGGCAGGAAAGAAAATAGACAGCAAAAAAGAAAGTATCACAAAAACTCTCCGACCCCTTCGATCGACCCTCCTCCATGTGGTTCTTCGTTAGCACATGCGAACCGCGTCAGGAGGTAGTCCCCCCACACACAGAATCATCAGATATCACATTCATCACATCACGCATCCATGTTTCTCTCGAGGGCTGTTTGTCATGCGGTAGTGAGGCACGTCTTCTTCCCCACCTCCACTGTCACACCTTTGGTCAATACTTCTTGATAAGTTGATGCGTCCTGGAGCTATCTGTATGTACGTGCTGACTGAGGACCCGGGTATGTACAAGTATATCATGCATACACCACGTATTCCTTGTCGTATACTGGTAGATGCGCCACACCAACAGGCATCCCCGTTTATCACTCACGTAGGGTCTTTTGGAAAGGGTGGCACGGATTGCTCGGAGAGGTCAACCGAGACGTCCCTAACGAGAAACATCCCTCACCACTGCGGTGCCCAGCAGCAGCAACATCATGCCATTATACCCAGGTGCGGATGAGATATATTAGACGGGGTCGACCTGCCCACTTGCTCGCCTATATCCACAAGCCCGTTAATTTGCCCAGCTACGCAATCAAGGCCTGCGTCTTGCCGCCAGGGCCCCTTCAGCGGACCGCCTGCGGGGCCTGGCTTGCTGAGGCTATCTCTTAGTCGATCCTCTGCCCCCAGGGGACCTTCTCACTAGACCGGACTGGGCGCAGAAAGAGGGGACCATGATATGCAGTTGGTCGTTGGGCAATACATGGCTATGCGTACTTACATGTTACTTACATGGAAGGCTGCAAGATTGAAAAAAAAAGACTCCATAAACTGCTTACATCGTTGCTTCGACCTCCTCCCCCACTCTTACTGCAACCTCCGGGATTCGAGTTGGAAATAGCTCTTCATGCAACTACCTCCCTATTTTAGACATGTTGGACTACACCGTACGGAGTGATATTTGGTGATATCAGAGCTCGTGAATACTTGGCCTTCTTGAACTTGAAATTCACATACCTAGAGCGGTATGTTCTCAGTTTATCTAGCAGACAGCACAACTTTCCCCATCCCAGACAGGCGCTGTCGGCAGTTAAAATCCCTTTCCCCGAAACCGCCGGCAGTTGTACTCCCTGAGCAAGAAAAGAACATCGACACGCAGAACCCTTCTCCATTCCCACTGCATCATCGATTCGTTGTTCGCGTTTGCATAAAGTACAAGTCCTGCAGATCGGCGATGCGTGCATCTTCCCGCAAGTTTCAGTCTGGCCCCCCCATTCGATCTCTTGTACGGACGTGTATCATCTCCTCCTTGGCACCGAATAGCAGCAGGACTAGATTCGCTTGGAGGTATGGCCAGTTCCCCTTCCGATAATCGTCCCCGGGCTGCTGCTGTTGGTCGGTCCACGACGAAAACGACTCGTGGGAATGACGCAGGATGCAAGCCACCGCAAACCAATGGCTCGTTTCAATTTGCCCGCGCGGGAAAAGCCCCTCAGCTCCTCTGGCGTGATGTGCTCAAATGTCAATCCGTGGCGTAGTATCCCCAAAGGCCTCATTGGACCGTCCATGTCATGGCGTTCCGACTTCGGGCACGTGGGGGGGTCACACTTGACCATGCAGGTTGAGTGGCTTGTCTTGTACCTCGTAAAAGTGAGAATCTCGTGTAGATGTTGATAGAGCTAGCCTCGATCCAACTGTAGAACCAAAGGTCCCATCATGTGTGATATCGTTCATGTTTCTAGCTAGTTGGCCAGACGCAGCTCGCCGTTCGTGTTTGCAGGCGTTTTATTAGAAGTGTTACATGGTAATGACACCAAGACTGGTATCCAATCTTGGCCAATATTACAATTTCGGTTTGTTTGTTTGATTGATTTGCTTGCTCGTAAATCACGCCCAGATTAGCACCCCCCTTCCCCCCGTCCCGTCCTTCATCTCCAGTTACATTCCGTAGAACGGCCTGCAGACTGTCCATCCGTGCCTATCACTTGTCCGACCCCTTTTTCCCCTTTTTCATCTCTCGCTTCTTCGGCTTGAGCCACTCTTCCATGCCTTCTGGCCAGTACACGCGGTTCTCAGGTCCTCCCATGCCAAAGTCTTCGTTGCTAACCGCCTGTCCGGGTATCTCAGCATCAGCCTCGATGTGGTCTTCGTCCTGCCCTTCGATCTTCTTCTCCTTCTTTCCCTTGTCCGCCGTTTTCTTCTCCTTCTTGCTCTTCGCCGCGGGCTTCTTCGACTCGTCGTCCCGCTCGTTCGGCACGATCGGGTTGAACAAATCCCAGCCGGGCAGCTTAAAGGTGCGCATCAACTCGAACACCGCCTGCTCCTTGTCCTTGGCTTCGATCATCAGGTCCATGTCGGGCGCGCACGGGGGCAGCGTCTTGACCCGGGCCGAGTGCTTTCGCCTGTCCCGCGCCGTGATGGCCCCGGCGGTCTGCTCGCTGTAGTGCATCTTCTGTCGAATACCTTTGCGCGTCCATGTTTTCCGGATCCGGTCAAAGAATTGGATGATGTCTTGCGTGCCTTCGCGAATCGATGAATCGAACACAATGTTGTGGTGGTGGAAGTCGAGGACGAGTGGGATGTTCAACTCCTCACATACCGGGAGCAAGTCGTGAACACTCCAAGAGACGTCGTCATTCTCAAGCACGAGCCTGTTCTTGACTCCTTGCGAAAGACCGCTATAGTTCTGTTTGAAGCGTTCAATCGTCGCTTCTTTATCCCCGTAGGTTCCTCCCATGTGTAGAATCATGACAGCGTCCTTATTCGCCTGTTCTGGCAGCTGGAGAAGCGACAGCATTTCGTCGTGGTATGCTAGATCACGAATCGCCGCTGCTACCACCTCTGGTCTCGGACTTCCAATCTGCGTGAACTGCCCAGGATGCGTAGTGACACGATGCCCCAGCTCTGCGATCACTTTTCCCGCCTCGGCCAACACTTCTGATGCGAACGGCGCAAGCTTGTATCCGTAGTCGTCATGGCTTGCAAAGGGAAACATTTCACTACTCAGCCTCATGAACTTGATACCGTACTTGTCGTTCCACCGAATCATCTTGGGAATGTCTCCAGCATTCGCCAAGCCCAGGTTCTGTACGAACTTCATGCCGAGCTCTTTATTCTGCGGCTTCGACTTGTCGGGTCGATTCTTTGTTGGATGCTCTGGCTGTGATGGGTCTTGCAGGGGGTGTCGATGGTCAATAATCGAGCTGATCCGGCACGTTCTTGAGGAGAATACGGGAGGTGTAGACGTCCGCAGATATGTATTCAAACAGGCCTAAGCACAATTTACTGTCAGCCACGAGAACACACGGCATCAGAGTGCCAGAGACAAATGAGACAGCATCTCAAATCGGAGGTATCTCACATATCCAAGACGGCCGGTCCATGGCAGAGGCAGCACATCGCTATTGACAGCGGGAGGTCTTCTCGCGCCTCGATCGAAACCATCCTCCTCAATCTTGGCCTCCGTGATGTCTCCTACAGCTATCTCAGCTTCGTATTCATCAATAGGCGCATGCTCAATAGCATCCGAGATGGATTTCGAACCCGTCTTCAGCACCTCGACAGGATCTCTCTTCTCTTGGTGATAGAGCGTGACCTCTCTCGCCCTATCCACCTCGCATATCAAATCTGACGACTCGACGGCCAGCCGCTGGCGCTTGACGGCTCTCTGCAGGTTGTATTCCATCTCGGTCAGCTCGCGCCGGGCCTGTTCTACCGTTTCCTTGGATTCCCACACGTGCTTGATTCTGTCCTGCGTCATCTTCTCCAGTCTATCATCGTCGGGTAGAGTATGCGGGGAGCTATCCTCTTGCTCGGCGACCTCTTTTATTCTCCTACTGCTTCGTCGCGGGGGCTCAGGTCGGGTCGGTAGCTCCTGCTGCAGACCATTGGCCTTTCTTTTTGGGGGCATACTGGCAAAAGACCTCGCTACCCGGAGCCGGTCGGCTGGGTTAGCTGAGACGGTACGCTGGAGTAGACGCGCGAGGCGGATGAGGGCCAGTTTGGGAGGCCGGTGGGTTCGACAATGCATGCAGATGCCACTGGGGCGATGGCACTCTCGGACGGCTCAGGCAAGGATGGCTCAAGGATATGGAAACTTGGTAATTGTCCCCAAGAACGGCTCTGTTGACAGGAGGAGGGGGTTGCAGGTTATGTCCTCTGCAGCGTTCAATCATCACAACCGGGGGAAATTGCATGGGTTAGCACAGCTGCCCGGTGTGAGTTTTCCGACATTTCTGGCCAATCGGCCCAGAATAATCACAGGTGATAGGCACGAGCTTGCCCTTGTTGGCTGGTGTCCGCCGGAGGGAATGGGCCAGAGAGTGCCATGGCGTTGGTTGAGCAGAGCAGCAGACGAGGCATGCCGGCAGCCATCGTCGATGCATCGTCCAGAGCTCGATTCAGCTGGTGGTGTGTCAGTGAAGTCATCGACCGGGCACGCAGATCAAGTGGGCCACACCGCAGGCGCTGCAGGCCAATCAGCCGCCAGCACCGCCGCCTCGTTAGCGGGCTGGCATTCCAGGTTACTGGACTAATTCAGGGCCTTGTCCCAGCTGCTGCAACGTTCACGAGTCAAGGCATCATCATTGGGCTTGGTTGACTCATGATAGTGATCGCATCGCCAGGGACGGAGATTTGCTCCAGGAATTCTGCACGACACCAGTGCGACAACCAAAGTTACCAGTTGTGACGGTCTGAGACACTGCCGCAGGCTACCCGCCTCACTTTCAGGCACGCGACTGGCTTACCCTTGTCACACAACTGCTCACGAAGCACAAGTGACATGTTCCTAAATTAAATTAACTTGTGGATTAATTATTGTGACATGTAACCAGCGCTGTTAGTTACATAAGAGGGGAGTTGACGAACCATCCGTCTGTGCCACCAGTCAAATAAGGGGAGGAAGAAACCAATCGGGTATAACTATCGCCAAGGACAAAAGACAAAGGAAAATGTAGAATCAACATCCATTGCAGTGTTTGACCCTGGAAAGAAAAGGGTGACGAACCGGACTGAGTGAGAAAGAGGACAGTGAAGGTGATATGATGTCATGAGCGTGTGAACGGTTGTGGAGTTGTCGTGCAGGGGATCAACACGACCAACCGGTCGACCCCGCAGAAGGATAGCAAGGGAAAAGAGAAATGGCAAAGATAGTAAAATTAACCAGGCAATTGGCCGTATTTGCCTGGCCCATGTCATGATAGTCATTCAATCAGGTCGCTCATTTGGATATGTTAGAGGTTGGTGTCCTGGATGCGAGGGGATGTTCCCTTTTCGCAGGCTACCCTAGACCCACATGCCTGTTGATTGGGGACGCGGCGGGGAGACTCGAAGTAAAACTCTGGACGGTATTGAAGGCGGCGAGTAGAAT